GAACATGCCCACTAAATAGCTGGTGAAAGAAAGAACAAGAGGTGGTTTAGCTGGGTCCTCCTCTGCTCCTCAACCCCCAGCTTGTCTTCTGTCTACGTTCCCCAGCTCGGGGACTCTGTTTCCACTGCCTCAGTGTTTCCTCTGCGTAGGACTCACTCCTGCTCTCTCCCCCAAACTGGAGTCCAACTCCAAGCGTCCTTGACTGACCTGAGAGGTTCACCTCTGTTTTCAACCACATGCCTCCACCCCCAACTTCCCATCACCATCATGTCTCTAGTTACTTGGGCTGAAACCCTGGGAAAAACTTACTCCTTTTACTCGATCTAGTCAACCATCGGATTATGTTGTGGATTTCTTATTTAAAAGACCCCGTCTGCAACGATAGGAAATCTTGGATTTGTTTTAAAATGTTTCAAAGAGTCACGGAGAGAAGGGATAAAGTAGGCATGATAAAAATCTTTGAATCTGGATAATGGTATATGGGAGTTCATTATACTATTCTCTTTACTTTTGTAGATGTTTGACAGTTTGGGGGGACAAAAATCCCCCAAAGATCACCAAGAATGATCTTTGACCCGTGAGGGATGGGAGATGATGGCTAAACACCCCAGGACCCATACATCATTAGCTCTCATTCCCCTGCTGTCACCTGAGTCCGGGTCCTCCAGGCTGACCCTGAGCCTCTTCTGTTCCTGTCGGGCCTTCCTCAAATGTTATTTGTCATGTTGCCTCTTGCTCAGAAAGCAGTAATAGCCCCTTGGTCTCACAACAGCCCCAAACGGCCCTGCGTGATTTTCCGATGCACCGTGAGCTGGGTTAGCCTCCCCAGACACCTGATCTCATACCAGTCACCCCAGAGGCCAGACTGGTCTCTCCTGGGCTCTGCACATGCCTTTCACTTAGAAAGCTCTTTCCCCTCCTTTGCCTAATCAATCTGAGCCAGCCTCAAGCCCCACCACCCACAAAAGCGTCCCCGATTTCTCCCATCTTTACTAAGCCTGTGTCTCTGAACTCATAAAGCTTGTCTGTCGAGGACCCCACGATTTAACAGTCCTGTGTGGAGTCGTTGGTCATTAAACCTGTTGGTTTTGGGTCTCCCCCAAGCCGATTACATAGTTCTCACATGTAAAGCAGACCAAGTTTTACACGCTGGCTTTGAGCCCTCCACGCCAAGGAGCACACAGTCCACACCACATGTAGGCACCCAATAAATATTTATGATTGGCAGGAGGATCTCTGGGGCTGAAGATAAGGCAATGGTCTCCGATTAGCTACCAGTTATTGCCAGGGCTGCATGTATTCACTCCAGCAACACCTATTGGGTTCTGACTACTACATGCCCGGCTGTAGTGTTCTCTGGGTCTAGGCACCAGAGACGCAGCAGTTTGTAGCACATGCTGTCGTGCTCTGCTCATAGGCCCCCAGGACAGCCACTGCACACGACTTCCTGTGGCCGAGCAAGCCTCCTCTGCAGGAGCAGAGTCAGTGTTAGGGAGGGAATCACCCAAGCGTGACCTTTGACCAGGGAGGGATGGGAGATGCTGGCTAACACCCCAGCTGCCCTGACTTCCCGTGAGAATTCTGAAACATGCTCTCTAGACAGCGGTTCTCAACCTGTGGGTCGCGACCCCTTTGGCGGTGGAACGACCCTTTCACAGGGGTCGCCTAAGACCATCCTGCATATCAGATATTTACATTACGATTCATAACAGTAGCAACATTACAGTTATGAAGTAGCAACAAAAATAATTTTATGGTTGGGTCACAACATGAGGAACTGTATTTAAAGGGCCAGAAGGTTGAGAACCACTGCTCTAGACAGTCAGAGGGCCCAGCAGCCCAGAGCAGTAACCGTTCATTAACATACCCTTTGGCTTTCCTCCCTCCCATTTCACTTCCCCACTCCCTCAATGAGTTTGGTGGGATCAACTCCAAACTGAACAACTGACTCCCAAACCCTTTTCTCAAATCGAATGAAGGCAACAGTGATCACGTCAGCCCAGGTCCCTGCCCTTACACATTCCTGCATTCAAGCCTTCCCGACGTTCCCGCACCTGTGCAATGCATCCGTGCAGCTCAGTGAGGCGCTGACTCCCCGCCTTGGTGTGCAAGCGTCCACGTTCTGGGTCACCAGCCAGTACAGCTTTCCGAGTCTCTCCCAGCTGCTCAGAGCCCAGTGGGCAGGGTTAGGCTGATGAGCGGAGAACCGAGGCCAGCCCACGAAGTTCCTCGCCCAGTACCGCTGGCGGACTGGAGCCCTCTGCACAAAGTCCCGGTGCTGGATGGGCCTCCGGTCGGTGCGGGCATAGAGTCCCACCTTTTCAGACCTGTAGTCCGGGATCCCCGACTCCGTGGAGACCCCGGCCCCCGTCATCACTAGGAGTCTCTTGGAAAGAGAGACGAAGCGCTGTAGCTCTTTGACCTTCTCAGGGTCCACAGGAGGACTCGGTGGCACAAATAGTCCAATGGATCCATGTGCGCACTGCTGGCTGAGGTTCAGCCTCCAGCAGCCTTTTGCTGCCCTCAAGGTCAACCCAACGTTCATCTTCATCTTCATTCTAGAAAGAGAGACCTCATGTGAAAAACCAAGTGACTGATTGATTGGTTTAGGTATAATTGATATATATATATATATATATATATATCACATGTTAGCTTCAGGTGTACAACAATTACTCAATATTTGGATATATTGTGAAATGATCACCACATTAAGTTTAGTTACATCTGTCACCACACATAGGTATAAACATTTTATTCTTGTGGTGAGGAATTTTAAGATCTACTCTCTCAGCAACTTTCAAATATGCACTACAATATTGTTAACTATTGTCACCATGCAGTACATTATTTCCCCATGGCTTAGTTATTGCAAAACTGGAGTTTTATACCTTTTGACCACCTTTACCCATTTCTCCTCCCACCCCCACCCCAGCCTTTGGCAGCCACCAATCTGTTCTCTGTATCTGTGAACTTCAGGATAGACAAATCAGTTTCTCCCAACAAATAAATTGCAAGAGACAGAGATATAGACATAGGTATATGAAGGGGGATTATATAGATTAAAGTATGTGGGCCTTATTTGAGTCCTGATCCAAACAAACTTTTAAAACATGACATTTATAAAATAATTGGAAAATTAAACATTAACTGGATGTTTGATATTAAGAAAATACTATTAATTATTTAATGTATGACAGATAGTATTTTAAAAAGTCCTCATCCTACTGAGTTATATATTGAAATATTTGGATAAAGTTATATATCTAGGAGGATTTGCTTCAAAATAATATGGGGAAGGTTGTGGAGCAGATAGGAGTATAGAAATGAAACAAGATTAACCAAGAGTTGTTAATTATTAAAGCTGGGTGATGGGCCCATGGATGGGGGGTCATTATATTATTCTATCCCCACAATAAACATTTTTAAAGTCATTCCTCAGAGCAATGTCTGCTTGCAGATGTCCTAGTATGCTCAGGACAGTGGTAGTGCAGAAATGCCAAAAGCCGTGAGATGAAGGAAAATGATTATATCTTTTGAATATTTTAAAAGCTTAAGAGATATGATCAGAAAAGTTAGACGAAGAAAAAAAGAATGGAGAAGTGTGAAAAGAAGCTAAAATGTGGAATGCTTTACCTTAAAGGAAGATATTTTAAGACCTCTCCAACTTATATCTGGAAACTGCCAACCCAAAGGATTTTTAATTTTTTTAAAAAAATATATTTTATTGATTTTTTACAGAGAGGAAGGGAGAGGGATAGAGAGTTAGAAACATCGATGAGAGAGAGAAACATCGATCAGCTGCCTCCTGCACACTCCCTACTGGGTATGTGCCCGCAACCAAGGTACATGCCCTTGGCCGGAATCGAACCTGGGACCCTTGAGTCCACAGGCCGACGCTCTATCCACTGAGCAAAACCGGTTAGGGCAGGATTTTTAATTTTTTTTATTTATTGATTTTAGAGAGAAACATTGATTTGTTGTTACACTTACTTATGCATTCATTGGTTGATGCTTGTATACATCAACCTTGGGATCGAACCCACAACCTTGGTGTATCAGGATGATGCTCTAGAAACTGAGCTATCCGGCCAGGGCCCAAAAGGTTTAATTATCAGCAAACTTTTGCACATGCAAATATTTTAAGAGATGGGTGATGAGAGCCAAGAGCATGACACTGAGAAATGGCTGGAGGATAGGGGTTTGTTAGCATTGCATATAATACTGTCTTCTGGAAGATAATATCTAGATATTAGAACAATGTATTAGAGAGGACCACAGGTTATTACATATCTAAGAAAGCTGTCCACACAGACCATAGTATTTTCTGTGGCAGATTTCATGCTTATCAGAACAACCTATTGATAATGAACTAATTAATGACTTCAGTACCTGCAAGGATGGCCCCAAATAAACAATAATATTTCACTAAAAATATTTTTCACTAGAAAGGTATGGCCCCCTTCCCTCCACACACCCCTAAAGTGTACAGTGGGGCCTTGACTTACGAGTTTAATTCATTCCGTGACAGAGCTCATAACTCAAATTACTCGTATATCAAATCTTAAAGTGAACGAGTGAGGCACGTGATGCTGGGCTGATGTTGTGGCATTCACTGGGCGGTGGGGTATCTGAAGCTGGCTCGTATCCTGATTTTTAGCTCGCAACTCAAAGCAAAAAATCGGCAGAGAGACGGCTCGTATCTCGAAAAACTCGTTAGTCGGGACACTCGTAAGTCAAGGCCCCACTGTATTTATAATCTTACTTTGAAACCCAAATCAAATCATTTATAAAATTTGGGAGGGTGTGAGCTAGCTCAGGATCTGATGACTCAGGATGAATTGAACACTGGGCTCCAGGCTTATAGAGAAAGCTGACCCTGCTAGGGCTGTGCTGATAAACTGGCTTTCCCCCTTCCCCCTCAACAAAAGATACAATAATCCCGTCATGGCCAATTTCATGCTACCAATGGTTTAATTACTGGCTAGCAAACTCCTCAATATTTAACACCTGGAACCTCACAAGTGCAAACTGATTCCAGCACAGCCTCCTGGGTCCCCTGAAGTCCAACCCGAAGCAACAGGCCTACCTTTTTATTATGTTTTTAATCATCTGTTTTGGTCAAGAAGTTCTAATACCTTCCACAAAATAAAGTCTTGTCTCCACGCGGGACTATTTCATCACAGCCCGAGCCAATCTTATCTTCCTAACCTCTTAAGAACCTATTGCCAGAGCCTACTATGCTGTAGCCATCAGATGAATATTAACTTAAAAAAGCGTTCTGCATTTAAGGGAACTGTATATTTTGGCGTATTTTTTTTAAAAAAAGAGGAGGCTGTAAAAACATAGCCTATTTAAAAAAGGAGGGAGGATAAAGTAAAAATTGGTAAAGCATATAATCTAAGGCCCTATTGTGAATCTCCCAGTAACACCAGCTGGTCAGACATGAATTCCTTATAAACTTCAAGAAGTTAATGACTTACCTCAATATCCTTTAAATCCCTTAATACCTCATTCTTATTCCATCTATGACTGCATCTAAAGATGTCTCTAGCAGAGGAATATATTTATATTTTAGTTAATACCATCCCTTGGGGAACTTTGTGTTCCATAACCCTACATCCCATCTTCTAAATTAGAATTATCTTATTGCTTTATTATTATTATGTTTTAATCCTCACCCGAGGATGTTTTTTCCCCATCAATTTTTAGAGCAAGAGAGAGGGAGAGAGAGAAACATCGATGTGAGAGAGAACAATGATTGGCGGCCTCCCTACAGCCCTGACCGGGGATCAAACCCGCAACTGAGGTGTGTGCCCTGAGTGAGAACTGAACCTGCAACCAGAACTATCTTACTTCTTCATATGCTAAGGAAGCACATTTGAGTTCTGGTATGCCAGGTGTTAATAAAGTTGTTTGCTCAGACTTTTTATTTTATTAATATAATTAAGCACACGCACGCCTCTTGTGTTTCGTTTCCCCCATATTATTTTAGTTTACTCTCAATTGCAAACAGCTACTTGCATACAGCAGAGAGTAGTGAAACCTGGCCAGTCATCATACCCGCGTGTCCGCTTTCTAGCTGTAAAAACAAGGCGCTGGCATTATTTGATGGAGGACAGACATTCCCTAGTGACGTGCGCCCCATATGTAAACATTACTTTAATTTGGATTTCCAGATCGGATTCAGGACCCCGATTTCTCCTTGACACTCCACAGCAGCGTGTGAACAGCTCAACAAATGCAGGGTCCTAATTCCTGAGACCAGGGGCTCGGGAAGCCCCGCTGCAAACACGCCCCATTAGAACGGCTGCTCTGTCCCAGGTCCCAGCGAAGCGCAAAGGGGAGTGTAATCCCTTATAAGAAACCCGCAGCCTCTAGCAACCTCGCAGCCCGCAAGGAGCTCACTTACCTTTCACAGCCCAAGGGACACTTCAAGTCCGACAGCGGGACTGCCTGGTCACATCTGCATTCTGGGTAATGTAGTTTACGAAGCTTAAATAACGCAAACACTACAAGTCCCACAATCCTCTGGGTTTCACAGTTCATATAACCAGGTTGTCCAGTTGCGCCCCCTGGGGGCTCTTTGTGGTCAGAAGTTTTGAGCCTTCCTCGTGGAGGTGCTGCTCTCACCTAAGGAATCCCATACACTGTCCTCCCTGAGAAGTGTTTACAGCGTCACACCAACGTCTTTAAAGTGCAAAATCACGGAATCGCCGTACACTTTTTTTATTCATAGACGCGTGGGGTCAGTAACTTATTTGTCCGGCTTCGCGGAGGCTCCTCTGGGTTTGTCCTCAGGTGGTCTGTGGGTGTCTTTCAGAAAATGGTTATTTTATATGATTTGTCATGGAATTTGTTCTAATAAATCATTCTATCACGTGGCAAAAAAATAAAAATAACAAAGTGCAAAACCATACATCCAAACAGCCCTTAGGAATTCATTCTCTGTTTTTGTTTATCCTCACCGGAGGATATTTTTTCCATTGATCTTTATTTTTATTTATTTTGAAATATATTTTTATTGATTTCAGAGAGGAAGGGAGAGGGAGAATCATTAATAGGCTGCCTCCTGCACGCCCTCCACTGGGGATTGAGCCCACAACCCCAGCATGTGCTTTTGACTGGAATCAAACCCGGGACCCTTCAGTCTGTAGGCTGACACTCACTGAGCCAAGCCAGCTAGGGCTCCATTGATATTTAGAGAGAATGGAAGGGAGGGGGAGAGGCAGAGAGAAAGAAATATTGATGTGAGAGACACATCAATTAGTTGCTTCCAGACTGAGCCTGCAAACAAGTGCCCTTCACCAGAATTGAACCCGAGATCCTTCAGTCTGAGGGCCGAGGCTCTAACCAGTGAACCAAACCAGCTAGGGCTCATTCTCTCTTAAGATAGAAACCTTAATAATACTTCTAGGTTTGGACCGCCCTCAACCTCAGTGTTTATGATCCTTTCCACTCACTGTGACTGGGTCAAGTTCCCACCTTGCTGTGGGTTGTCCAGCACATTCACAAGTACCTGGAAATGTGATGTTTTTACATATTCATGAA